GTTTGATGATGTTCATGGAGGCAGGTAAGTCAGAAGGTCAGATTTTGGAGTCATATAGGATGACTACCCCCAAAATTTCCTGTTCTACAGCTCAGTAACTAAATACAAAGGAGCTAGGAATGTGGAATTGAAATCCTGTATCAGCATCTATTACAAGAAGAAATGAGAAGATGATTGGTTACATTGATTCTTTTCTGTTTTCTGTTTCTAGGAATAATAGGCATTTTCATTCATTAACTAAAATGTTATTCTTAATTATATTAATATTGCAAAAAGACTTATTCCTTTTTTGATGGAATAAATGTGCATTGGAATGGAATGTCCTTGATGACACTCTCACTTAGAGAATAGCTTACTCTCCTTTTAAGAAAAGTGAATTATTAATTCTGGATATTTCCCCTACAGTTGGTTGTCTTTTGTGCCATTGAATGACCATTTCTTTTTTTCTTTTCTTGGGTATTTATACTTGTATTTAAACCTGGATTGGACATAGATGAGTTCTATTTAAGCAGTGCTTGTTATGCCAGAAAAGGACATTGGACTTGGGGGAACTCATGCTGGGTCTAGATTGATATCCACAAACTCCAGAGATTCCTGTACCCTCCATCATAGTGCCTGCCCTTTCTAACCAACTATTGACTTCTAAACTAAATTTTTTCTTTTTTATTCCTCTGGTGCTAAAAACTGAGCAAAAATATTACCTTGAGAGAAGTTCAAGAAGCAGTAGGTTTCATCTTCCCTCAGTCTGCCCGGCTTTTGGTGAGTTTGGGAGTGTTGACAGTTTTGAGCCTTCTTGGCAAAGTCAGGGTCAGAAAGAGAATCCCTTGGGCAGGGGTCCAGATTCTTACTTGCCTCGTTAGGGAGAATTCAGTTTTGGTTGGCTGGCTGACTGGCAGGACACACTTAATCACTGAGACCCAGTATTTCAGCAGTTTGTAGAGGAAAGTGATATGAAGGAACAGCTGCAAGTAAGCCACAACCTGGATCTGAGAAGATCAAGCACTCACTTCACTTGGAGGAAAGAGAGAAGGAAGGAAACCTAGGGCTTAGCAGGGTAAGTTACTTTCCCATCAACCTGTCTTCTTCCTTAGTTTATAATTGAGTAAAGTATTTATCACCCCAGGAAGTGTTAATCACTGATTAAGCAGCTGAATCATAAGGGCAATGTTCTTAATTTCTTTCTTTTTTTTCCTTTTGTCTTTCCCTACCCCTTTGAGGATCCCCAGTGACCAGCTTTACTCCTCCTCACCTCACCAGAGATATTTTGTGTTTGCTAATAAATCAGAGAAATTTAGATGGGTCCTAGTGGTCTGCATTTAGATGATGGTGATTTAGGTGAAAATTGGGGCTTTTATTGGTAAGGGAGAAAAATAGGAGTCCTCTTGTCTAGGAATAGGTTAATATTTTATCTTGTAATTTGGAGATGAAGGGTATGACTTTTTCTAGGCAGTCAATTTCGTATCTCCTTCATAGAACTTGGTGTTGGTGTTTTCTCTTTAAAATACTGGGAATAAGTTGGAGCCTAAGTCACTAGGGATGACTAGGAAAAAAATCTAAGGTGATTCCCTTTCTAGGTAGGATAGATTGAACTCTGGAAAGTTCTGAAAGCTTACCACAATTCTTTGCAGTTTCGCTCTCGTCACACTTCTGTTTTCTTTTTTTCCCCTTTGCTTCTGTTTCTACTCCTTGAACTTGGAGGAATCTGGGGCTCTTGGCAGGAAAGTTAGAGCCAGGGAAGGTGTATTTGGACCTGGGATACACCAGCTCAGACATAACCCTAATTAAATTTATAGAGATGCAAATGCAAAGACTTGCTTCTTATTCCTGCCGTATTACCTTCCTGTCAGAATGTTAGCACGTTTGTCCCATAGATCATCAATATACACTAGGCATAGCAAGCCAGAGACATTAAGGATTTCATCATTGCCAATTCTTTTCACCAAGCTGTATGCTCCTTTTAACTTCTAGCTGGTTCTATTAACCCCGTTTACCAAAAGTTAATCTTCAAAGAGTTAGTCTTCCATTGGAGAAAGACATCCTTGGAAATGGAGTTGAAGCAATACCTTTTGAACCTTAATTGGCTTACAGCAAAAAGGCTTATAGTTTAGCATGGGGAAGATGGAGATAAATCCAGGAATTCAAGACCTTTAAATTGTCTCAAATTAAAGATACTTTCCTTCTATAACAGTAAGGGGGGGAAAGTGTATTTTTTAAACTTTAAAAAAAATTTTTTTTTAGTGATGGTACAAATTGAGCTCAGGGGCACTGTACCACTGAGCCACATCCCCAGCACTTTTTATTTTGAGCCTGTGTCTGGCTAAGTTCCTGAGGCTTTTGATCCTTCTGCATCAGCCTCCCAAGTAGCTGGGATTATAGGTGTGTACTACCACACCTGACCACTCGTTCAACTTTTAAGGTGTTATATTGACTTGAAGTATGGTAAATAGAGCAGATAAATGTTTTTATTTTATTTTATTTTTTTTTAGAGTGGCAGTTATTCTGGAAATACACTGAGAATGTGTGGTGATTAAAAGTGGAGGGTAGATGGGCAGAGGATAGCTTAGTGGTAGAAGGCTTGCCTAGCTTGTGTGAGACCCTGGGTTCAATCTCTATTACCATAGGCACAAAAAAATAATAAAAATAATAAAAATTTTAAAATGGAGGACAGGTCAGTTATTGGGAACAGGGTTCTAAGGTATGACAGGCAATTCTATCTTCCCTTTAGGCAAAGGGGCATGACCCTTAAACCTTAATATAATCAACTATCATTAGATGCAGTATTTTCTTCATTGGCAGTAATGTACAGAATATGGTATGCACATGAGCTTAGCTATCTCTGTTCTGTTGACTCAATCCATTCACCATGGATTGAAGGGAGACATTGAAAGGGTAGATGGAAACATAAGGGTGAGAGGAAAGAAAGTATCAAAGGAAGTATAAATTTATTCTCTAGACCAGGAGTTTGTAAGAACTGTATAAAACACAAGTATGAACTGAATAATTATGAGAAATTTTATTTGTTTTTACCATCTACATCTACCTCAGTTAAATTATGATTCTTGGGTTTTTATCCTAACACATTTGTTTTAGAAGGATCAAATGTCAGGCCATTTTGTAACAAAATATGATCCATGATTTGAACTTTGTTACCTTGTTCATAGTGAAACCAACTGCTGCCAGTGTTTTTATCCTGTATCATTTCCCCGTCCTTGTAGGCAGTTAATCTGGATATTAATAACTTTTTAGCCTCTCTGGTGTCTATAGATTCCCTCCTTTCTTTCTTCCTCCCTCCTGCCCTCCCTTACTTTTTAGTTTTAAGGTGAAATTCATATAACATAAAAATGATTTTAAGTTAGCAACTGCATGCCGTTTAGTACTTTTCAGTGTTGTGCAACTACTACCTCTGTGTAGTTCCAAAATATTTTCATTGCTCCAAAAGAAAGCCCCATAAGCGTTAAGCAGTTACTTCTCACTTCCTTGGCAACCCTCAATCTTCTTTCTGCCTCTATTCTTGGTATTTCATATAAATGGCATCATATAACATGTAACCGTGTCTGGCTTCTTTCACTTAGCATGATTTTGAGGTTCATCTACATTGTAGCATGTGTCAATATTTCTTTTTTATGACTGAATGATATTTACTCATATCTCTCTTTTGTCTGTTTCTCTCTCTCTGTATGTGTGTGATCTCAGTATGTTTACCCATTTTATCTATTGGTAGATTTGTTACTTGTTTCTATCTTCTAGCTATTATGAATGGTGCTGCTATAAACTACAAGTCGTATAAGCCTTTGGGCACTCATTTTTAATTATTTGGTGTATATACCTAAAAACGAAATTTTTGAGTCATAATAATAACTATATGTCTACTTTTAGAGGAACTGTCATATCCTTTTCCACAGTGCCCTAGCTAGGTAGGTGAACACATGCCTGTAATACCAGCTACTCTAGAGGATGAAGCAAGAGGACTGAAAGTTTAAGGCCAGCCAGGGGAATTTAGCAAGATCCTATCTCAAAATAAAATTCAAAAGGAGATATGGATGTAGTACTTGCCTAACACATCACAAGGCCCTGGGTTCAATCCCCAGTACCACCAAAACAATTAAGAACAAAACAGAAAATAGCAAATGTTGATGAGGATATAGAGTAACTGGAACCCTTGTGCACTGTTGGTAGAAATGTGAAATTTTCCATGGTGAGGGCATTCATGGGAAAGGTTATAGCAGTTCCTCTAAAAATAAACATATAATTACTATTATGACTCGCTAATTTCATCAACATTTGCTTCATGAAGTCTTTCTATAGCTCACCCACTAGAGAGACTCTCTCTGTCTCATTGCCCATTAGTGCTTTAGTTGCACTTTGCTTAGAGGATTTATATAGTACTTTATATTATAGTCTATATTTAATCCCGCTGCAAGACATTTTGATGATATATTTCTTCATACTTGTTTCCATATAGTATTGAAAGTGATTTTATCTGTCCATCAATAAATATATATTGAATGAGTGGATGTTTAGGAAATTTTCTTCATAATTTGCCTGACTTGCTTAGAATATGTAACTCTTTGCATTATGTTACTTGTTTTGTATTGCATTTAATTTCTATTTCTATTGGTTTATTGCTTATCAATGTGATGATATTTCATCTTTCCACTTCTCTTTTAAGTTGATTTAAAAAATATGGGCTGGGGATGTGGCTCAAGCCGTAGCGCGCTCGCCTGGTGTGCGTGCAGCCCAGGTTCGATCCTCAGCACCACATACAAATAAAGATGTTGTGTCTGCTGAAAACTGAAAAATAAATAAAAAAAAAATAAAAATAAAAATAAAAAAATAAATTAAAAATACAATATGCTGCTGGATGTTGTATCACACATCTGTAATCCCACAGACTATATGCGAGTCTGAGACAAGAAGATCACAAATTCAAGGCCAGCCTCAGCAACTTAACAAGGCCCTAAGCAACTTAGCAAGACCCTGACTCAAAATTAAAAAGAAAAAGGCCTGGAGGTGTGGCTCAGTGGTTAAGAGCCCCTTGGGTTCAATCTCTAGTATGAAAAAAAAAAGTATATTAATATATGAATATATTCTCCTTATAGAAAAGTTAAATATAACAGATAAGACTAAAGTCTCATTGATCAATACTTTTCATATTCCACTGCCTTCTTCCCCTATTCAGACTTAATTACTGTCATCAGTTTTCTAAAAGCCCTGATGTAACTTTTTCTGTGCACTTACATATATATGTGAAAATACGTATGTATATTTATATATGGAATTTCATATATAGCACATGTATAAATTTATATTAATATTCATTTAGTTTATTTTTCACAACTGTCTGTGATGATCAACAATCCATAATTACTAAATAAATCTTACTAATAACCTGACTAGAACAGGAAGTAAAAGGTCAAACATTTGAAAACATATCATGTGTCCAGCTTGCAAAATTCCATTCCATATCTGTTTTGCATATAGTTCCCAGGTATCATTGGACAGGTCATGGCTCCACGCTTACGGCGACGGAGGCACAAGAAATCCCCAACAGTGGCTCCTGTGGTTGTGATCCCTCCCACAGTTGTGACTCCTTTGCCTCTGACTCTCTCAAAACCTGGCCCTAGCATTGATGCACATGGCTTCTTCTCCTTGGACAGTAATGTTCCTGGTCTGTCCCAGTTGATCCTTCAAAAGCTGAACATGAAAAGTTATGAAGAATACAAGTGAGTGACAAAATGTGGAAGAGGGATATATTGTCTTTAGGAGAAGTGATTTCAAAAGGTAGAGTATAATTTGGTCAGTATGGGATATTTGTAATGAGGGATTTTCTCATCCTGACTTTTGCCAGTTTTATTACTACAGAAAAAATATAATTTGTTTAAATAAGAAATGATGGGACTAGGAGACATAGGAGTATGTACAGAAGGCACGATGGGGGACATAAGAGATTTTGGAGACACTCTTTTCCCTATTGCCGTTCTTCTTCCATGCTGTCTCTACAGGTTGGTGATAGATGGGGGTATCCCTGTATCAGGCTTTGGATTTCAATGTCCTCAAGAAATGTTCCAGAGGATGGAGGACACATTCCGATTCTGTGCTCACTGTAGAGCTCTCCCTAGTGACCTTTCAGACTCCAAAGTTCTTCGGCACTGTAAGAGGTGACTTGTGGGGTACTAACTGGGGAGACATTCAGAAATGATCCTATACTAAATCCTCATTATAAAAGGAAAGGTCTAAGAGTGTTCAGATTCACTTAAGGCTCATTCATCATTTTGTGTGAACCACAATACAGAGAGATTAGAACACGGTCATAATCCTGCTTATTATTTTTGATGTTGTGGGAAGATGAGATAAGAGACAAATATCTTCTTCTCTACTCCCTCTTCTTGAGTACTCAAGGAGTAAGACCACATCTGTTCTGGGGTGCTTGGGGTTGTGCCATACACATGATTAGAGAGCAGCTGCACATTGTTGGTTTGTTTTTGTGCTTTTGTTTTTCCTTAAAAGTGATGTAAAAAGTAAGTTGGTTCCAGATAAGGACAGAGGTATCACCCTGGTCTGAGAAACCAATTGCATTCCCTGTTCCTTCTGCCTCCTCTTTATTCCCCACATTTGGGGCACAGCTGTTATTCTTTTCTGCATCCTCCTTACCCATTCATTAATCTTTCAACCTAGGTGCAAGAATATCAGTTTCCATCCCTGGACATATCCAATTAACTTTATGGTACAGGAACATTTATTTCTGTGGCTTATTCCTTTAGGTGCAGAAATGTCTATTACTGTGGCCCAGAGTGCCAGAGGTCAGATTGGCCAGTACACAGGAAGGTTTGTCAAGAGCTTCGTCTTGTGGCTGTGGATCGTCTCATGGAATGGCTTGTGGTCACAGGTGGAGTGGTAGTATTGGGGAAGTCTGCCAAAATTATCTTAGTTGTTTACATTCAGAGAAAAATATGAAAGCATGTTGTTATGAGGAGGAAATGAGGAACTGGGGCAAGGGATGGGACACCTGGGGTCACAGGTTTGCAAAATGAACATGGAATGATTATTGGTTATAGTGAGGAGAGAATTTTGAAGCCAGGGAAGGATTGGGTTACTTCTTATTCCTTCTTCTCTACAGGTGATTTTGTCCTACCCTCAGGACCTTGGCCATGGCCGGCTGAAGTTGTACAGGACTGGAATACCTGGTTTTCTATGAGGGAGTTGCAGATAGATGCTACACTGAATGCTATACTAGGCAGTCATGCTATGACCTCCTTATGGGCCAGTGTAGGAAGGCCGAGGCCAGACCCAGATGACTTGAAGGGCTCTTTGAGGCGACTCCTGACAGATGTTCTGTCACGGCCTTTGACTCTGGGCCTAGGGTTTAGGGTCCTAGGGATAGATGTTTGGAAGACTGGAGGAAGTGCAGTGCATGTGATTGGTGCATCCCATGTGGAGACATTTCTCACTCGTTCTGGGGACTATGATGAGCTTGGCTATATGTTTTCTGGACACCTTGGCCTCCATGTGATCATGGTGGGTGTAGATGTGTCTGCTGACTTTTTACACAGCACCTCATCTTCACCTCTGGAACCTGGCACAATTCAGCTTAGTGGCCACAGGAGCCTCTATCATGACTTCTGGGAAGAGCAGATAGAGACTGGGAAGATAGCCTATCCAGATATGGTGGTGGCATTCCATCCAGGTAAGCACCATTATTAGTTCAGAGAAATACTGAGTGACTCCCCTGAGATTTTCCACCCTGATTCTTGTATCTTCTATCTTTAGAACCCTATTCATTTGGTCTTATTAAACATACTATGATGATGACCTTAATTAATTTGCCATATGTGCTAACTACATCTGGGTTCAGAATGTTTCAATGAAGAACCTAGTGGGGATGAATGATGATTAATATTGGGGTTAGCAATGTGAGGATTGGGGTAAATGCAGTCAAAGAAGTATCTTGCTCATAAGGTCTACTTCAGCTTTTCTCCTCAGTATTCCCTTTTCTATTTTTGTTCCATAGGTTTCCATGCATCCCTGAACTTGATGGAAGCTTGGCTGCCTACCCTGCTGCTACTTCGTGACTATAAGATCCCTACATTGATTACTGTTTACAGGTTTTGACTTATTTATGATATTTTCCTGACACACTCCTGCCTCTCTGTGCTTATTAACTCATTTTGATCCCACTTGCTCATCTCTCTTCTTATGAAGATGCATGTCTTCTCATGAAGATATTCTTCCTTCTACCTTGTGGCTTATTCATCCCCTTGGAACAAAGTCCTGTGCTAATCAGTGATTTAGTGAGATGTTTGGGAGGAAAAGATAGTCATGGTCTAGTCTAGTCTTAGATAATTATTGGGATTGATGAGTAGAGAAATATTGTATTCTTAAGCAGTTTCTATTCTCTCTCATAATCAGTAAGAGTAATTTTTCTTATCTCTTTCCCACAGCCATCAGGAATTGACAGCCTCTTTGCAGATTTTGGTGAAACTTGATATACACGTCATTGCATATGGAGCTAACCCTTTCACATCCCTCAAACCTGAACAGGTCTATTCCAACCCCAACAAGCAGCCAGTGTACTGCAGTGCCTACTACATCATGTTTCTTGGAAGCTCCTGCCCGCTAGATAGAGACAATTAGAAGAGAAAGTGGATGGTGTGGCTTAAATAGCTGAGCCAAATCCTAACTGGACATCTGGAAAGTAGGGAAGTTGTAATGAAATTACCTTGATGATGCCAAATTATTGCCAACTTTAAAACATACTGTATTCTAAGCCCTATTCACTGCCTAGGTACAGATTGTAGACTGAATAAGAGCTCTACTATTTATCTAACAGTTTAGGCTAGAAAATGGAGATGTCAATGACTTGAAAGTCATGTAAGAATGGGAAAGTTGGGCTGGGGATGTGGCTCAAGCGGTAGCGTGCTCACCTGGCATGCATGCGGCCTGGGTTCGATCCTCAGCACCACATATAAACAAAGATGTTGTGTCTGCCGAAAACTAAAAAATAAATATTAAAAAAAATTCTCTTTCTCTCTCTCTTTAAAAAATAAATAAATAAATAAATAAATAAATAAAAATATATATATAAAAGAATGGGAAAGTCAGGGAAGTTATTGGGAACATGGGGAAAGCTTAAGGATTGGTATACTGTCCTATTTCTTATTTTTGTTTGTTTGTTTGTTTGTTTTCATCTAGAGAAATGTTTCATTTTCCTATTGTCTTTTCAGGAACTCTGACACTAGAGTGGCCCTCATATTGTAGTCTAGATATCAGTCTTTACCTGAATATATTGGAGTTGTTATCTCTTTTTATACCACAGTTAACTCATTTGGGGGCTTTTTTTTTTTTTAAGTGACATGGAGTCTCTCTCTGTTGTCCAGGCTGACTCTGAATTCCGAGGTTTAAGTGATCCTCTTACCTCAGCTTTGCAAGTATCTGGGTATATGGGTACTTACCACCATACCTGGCTACCTTGGGGCTTCGCAAATC